ATCTCCAAGTAAGACAACAACTATGATCTTCAATAGTGATCCCAATTTTACATCTGAACTCTTTCAATACTTGGATGGGCAAGCATGAACAGAAACCTTCAATCTTTCTAGGGTTAGAAGAATCCCTATATATAGAGATTTCTTCCAGTCCAAAGAGGAGAACCAAAACACACATTATTTTTCTTCCAAAAATAACACGCTTGTTTTCTTTTTAAAACCAAATCCAAGCCTGACTCCCCTTTTTTCCTTAGAAATAGGATTCCGAGTTCTAGTTAAATATGGGCACCGTAGGGATCACATAATTAATTACTGAGTATTCCTATTATGGAAATAATTGAAATAATTAATTTGAATTTATTCTTACCATAATAAATTACAAATCATTCCACTAGAAATTCGTAATTGCACTCCTCTATTTATATTTCGAAATTCCCCATTAAACACTACTGTAATTCCCTATGTTAAGATTACAGATACTAATTAATAAATTAAATTACTGACGAATTTAACTCAATGATTAATTTCTTTTAGAGAACTACTTAAGTTATTTCATGTGTCGGATTCATAAATCCACTTGCAAGGTTTGACACGATGAAAACTTATAAGTTTCTCGTAAAGGCATATCAATCAATCTCTATAACGAAACATGGATTGCATCAACTAACTTATTATTTCACCAATATATATTATTATCATCCAATCTATCAGGCATAAAAAGGAGTGAAGGAGTGTAACTGTTTCCTAGAATGTTTCATACCTCCCTGAAGATCAAATGTGGATGTTAATACACCAATTCTCAGGACTCTATTCGATATTTGTTCTTCTACTGAGAGATCGGTGACCTAGGCTCTGATACCAAATTCTCACGGTCCAACTTACCAGGCTGTGCGGACACCTACTCAAACATCTAGATAGAAGAACTCTTACCATCCAATTTAAAACTGTCAATGCAGAAGTAAATGAATATCAGTTTATCACCTTATTTAAATACAAAATTACTCTCAAGTTGATTAAAATAAAAAGCCTTTGAAATTACAAGGGACCCTCCTTAGGAATTACTCTAAGCAGGTACAAGATTAAGATACAACTCCCACCCTAAGGGAAGGATAAGTAGAAATTGTCAAATATTATCATCGTATTCACCTGAGAAACATCATTGTCCCTGCAACAAGACTATGCCAAGTGGCATGAGTAGTATTAGTATATACAACAAGTACTAATAGACATCATTTGTAAATCTGAATCCACCACATAACAACATCTTAATATTCAGAAGAAACATATAACTTGGAGATATATACCCTTGATCTTTAACCACATCCCTTACTACCAAGTAATACCACCTCTGAACACACTTTATCCAAAGCATTCCTACCTCCTTCTTATCATCCTAAACCACAACAATCACAAGTCCAACATTACTAACCATGTATCTTATCATCCTAAACCACAACAATCAATGCATTTAACCATTCAAACTTTGTGTCCAAAGGCCTAAGTATGAAATCTCCCGCAAATCTACGACAAATTATGCATTTTGAGACAGGTCCAACTACTCTATTTAGCCTAGCCAATGTAGACGTCAAGAAACTGCTAAAGAAATATGAACACGAACTTCTAGCTTCATGGGGAGAATCCTTGTGCAAGTGGGTCTTGACCCTATTTGCACTAGAATCCCTTCTCTCTATTGTTCCAAGTTTCGAGCCATCTAAGAGGATTTTTAAAGTAACCCTCATCTGTTTTTACCACTAAAGAGGACTCAATTTATAAAATTGAAGATTTTTAGGTTTTGGTCCCATCAATCCCGCTGTAGGGACCTGGCAAGAGCTATAGTGGAGGCGCCATAGTGAAAAAAAATTCGCTTTGGCGGAATGATGTCAGTCCGAATCAAATTTAAATTCTGAAATTTTTGTCATGTCACCCCAATTTAAATTGGCAGTGTATTTCAAAAAAAATTGAATTTCGCACGAGGTGTCTTTTGAATAACGTCGTAATAGGTCATTACAAGGGTGGGAAGGACTAGTAGATGCGGAAACTAATGATAAAAATGATGGTGATTTTATTTTATAAATTATCTTGGCTAGTATCATTTTTTTATGTTGTTACCTTTCTCAAAGAATAATTTTAATATTTTTTCTATTTATTAGTGATTTATTGAATTTATTAGCAGAATTATTGAAAATTTTATTTTTGCTTATTGTCTTAATAATAAAATTATAAACTAAAGTTATATGAGATATTACACCTCGTAGATTTATGGAACTTACACCTCGTATTTCGGAGCTTACCCCCTCACCTCATGTTGCATAAAACGTCTCACCTCATGCCCCTACGTTTTAAAACACTGTATAAGATATAATAAGAAGGATACAATTAGAAAATATATTATGCTAAAACTCTTTTTTTATTTCACTAGAAACAAAGGAGCTCCAATCAAGTGTATTTTTGTTTGGGAAACTTACATGAATATACTATATTAAAAAAATATTTACCATTTATAGTAATAATATTTTTTTTCACTTGATCACTTTTAATACATTTATAATACTATTTCAATACATATTACAAAGAAAAATTTATTATTCACATATAATGCAAGTTTTATTGATGGATAACACATTTTAATACACTTATAATACAATGTGTCAATTTCTTACCAAACAAGCATAATATATTTTAAAAATAGGTATAATACATATATATTGCATACATAATTCACTTTTAATACATATTGCAGATTTTGCTATGTATTGCTATAAATGATAATAGATAAAAAATATCACTAAAATCAGTAATTATTTATTAAAAGGTACCAATCCAAGTAATTTTTCCTTTTTCTTTTTTTACAAACTTGGGCCAAAAAAAAAAAAAAGATGACAGACGAAAATAAGTAGTCATTAAAAAAAAAAAATACACAATTGCATGCAATTCCATTAGTTTTGTCAAACCTTTTTTATTAGACTAAAAAGAATGAAAATCTACGTTGTTTTTTCCCCAATTATTTTGTCATGATAAGAAAATACACAATTAAAATAAATAATCATTGTATTTAAAGAAGAAACACATAGTTTGTACTTCATTATTTTTTACGAAACAACTTTTATTTGGCTAAAATGATGAGGTTCAGGCTATAGAAGCATCTATTGATGCTTGCATTAGGGTATATGATCTACATGACTACATCACACGTCTTATAAATATAAAGGGCTTTGAGCACTAAATTGTTCTTCTCATAAAATCCGAGTCAAGTTTCTTTTTCAAATTTGTTTGAAAGAAAAAATAGACCGTTAGAAACAAATTAGTTGAAGCAAATCATCATTATACTTATTGCACTTGTATTCCTTGTGGAACCAAACATGTATAATAGGAAAGTGAGATTTGTGAATTTTAATCCCAAAAATAAAAGATGAAAAGTATTTATGGTAACTTTGTTTGTTTAAATTTGAAAAAAAACGAATTTGAATAGGAATCAAATTTAGACCTTATTGTATAAATAGGAGCTTGTTATTGGCATACCCTTCCATACTAAATTATTATTTTTTGTGTTGTGGGGTTTTTGGTTTTATAAAGCTTTTTGATTTTATGAAGCAAGCCAACACTAGAAATTACACCTCAAGTAACTTGTTTCTTTCCTTTTCTTGTTGTTTTGAAATTCTTTAGTTTAATCTCTCTGCCATAATTTTTCTTTTCTTTACATTATTGGTTAATTTTCTAGGCAGAATTTTATGATATGCTTTGATAAGATTCATAATATTTTAATATAAGCCTAAATAATCACGAATTAACTTAACGTGGTTGAAATCCGTCTCAACGGGTCAAGATGAGCTCAATTAAATGCCTTCTACTTTGCCTCTTTCCATGGCACCAATTTCCCGCCAAATTAAAAGTTAGAAACTGCCATTTTTCCCCCAAAATTTCTGCTCTCCTTTCGCCCTAATCTGTGTTTCCTTTGCTGTAACTTCTTTATTTTGTTCGATTCCTATATTCATAATAATCATGTAACGTAAAATTATTTTTTCTAGTAAGGTTTTAAGTTGTGCGTACTTTATAAATTGTAGATTGTAGATGTTTGTGTTAGTGGAAACAACGAGTCCCACAAAGATGTTAGGCAAGAAGAAACTTCATCAGATGGTCGATACTAAATCTCCCTCCACATTTAAGTGCCTAAAAATTGATGCTACCCGCAATTTTCCTGAAAATTGTGGTTCATTTATTTGTCAAAACAATGGAATCAGAGAGATCAACCTGGAATGTCCATCCACTACCAATCCTGTAATAGTCGAGACCACAAGGAATTTTCCTGAGAATTTTGATCCATTTGTTCGTGAGAACAACGAAACCAGAGAGATCAACCCTCCATCCAATACCAGGCCTGTAAGAGTCGAGACTACGAGGAAATTTCCCGAGAATTGTGGTCCATTTAATCGTGAAAACAACAGAACCAGAAAGATCTACCCTGGAATTTCCATCCAATACCAAGCGTGTAAAAGTAGACTCTAGGAGGAGTTTTCTTGAGAATTGTGGCCCCTGTGTTCCTCAAAAGAGGAATGGAAGTGATACTCAAGGCTCTGTTGATGCTGAGAGCAAAAGTTGTTTTGAGGCAAGTGGTGCGCGTCCAAAAGAGACTGGTGGTTCAAGTCATTTAAATACCTCATGTCGACCTACAAATGGAAACCAACCTTTGAAATTGAAAGAAGAAAATCTTATGTATGAAGTCCAAAAGCCGTCAACTGATACAAGAAATACATGTGATTGGTTTATAAAAGATGAGCCTATTGAAAATGGACCAGAATTGCCTGCTAATGTTTCACAAGAAAATCCAATCGAAGCCCGAAATGAACCTAGTAAGAAAACAAGCCAGAGAGTTCACCACGAAGACGTTTCTGACGATGAGTCCAGGAGTTGGGTAGATGATGATGACCTTTCCATTTTAACATGCTCCGAGTGGAACATACTAAGATCAACTCTCAAGGCTCTGAAACTTTTTGATGCCGTATATACTAAACTTTTGCGAGAAGATAAAGCAGAGAAACCTGAAGGACGATCCAAAAGAAATATCCATATAGAGGCAGCAATGACTATGAAAAATCAGAAAAAGTGGGTAAATTGTGAGTGGACTTTTGGACATGTTCCTGGAGTTGAAATTGGGGATCAATTCCGGTTCAGGGCAGAACTTGTTACGATCGGATTACATCACCAAGTTATGAATGGTATCAATTATGTGAATATTGGCAGAAAATATGTTGCAACAAGCATTGTTGATTCTGGTCGGTGCGATAACGAGGCCATATCTTCTGAAACATTCATTTATGTAGGTCAAGGCGGGAATCCAAAAGTATCTGTCAATGCGAGAGTGGAAGATCAAAAGCTTAAAGGGGGTAATCTTGCCTTGAAGAACTCCATGGACATGGGATGTCCGGTGAGGGTTATTTGTGGTCGACAAAGAGTGAATGGTGAAAAGAGTGATATGAGATACATTTACGATGGGCTCTACACTGTGACCAAGTGTTGGGAAGAAATAGCTCCAACTGGAAAATATGTTTTCAAGTTTGAACTAAAAAGAAATCTTGGCCAACCAAAACTTAATCGTGAAATAGTATCACGGCCAACAAGTTTAGTCAAGGTAGATCATTTTCATGTTAACAAGGAAACAAAATCGATTATGCAGTCGGAGTTTGTTGTGGACTATGATGTCTTGCAAGGAAAAGAGAAGATACCGATTCGTGTTGTCAACGCAATAGATGATGAGAGACTCCCATCATTTACTTACATTACCAACATACAATATCCAGATTGGTATTACATCTCTAGGCCTCAAGGTTGCAATTGCACAAGTGGATGCCTGGATTCCGAGCAATGCTCTTGTACTTCTAGGAACGGAGGTGAGATTCCATTCAACACAAGAGGCTCTATTGTTAGAGCACAACCTCTTGTTTATGAGTGTGGCCCATCTTGCAAATGTCCCCCTACTTGCAAAAATAGAATTAGCCAACATGGTCCTCGAGACCATTTGGAGGTTTTCAAGACCGAATCGAGAGGATGGGGCTTGAGGTCACGAGATCATGTCTCATCCGGAAGTTTTATATGTGAATATGTTGGGGAGTTGCTTGATGAAATGGAAGCTGAAAGTAGAATAGATAATGATGAGTACTTGTTTGATGTTGGCAACTATGATGAAGAAATCCCAAAAAGGAATCCTATGCGTAATAATAACCTCAAAGTTGAGTCAGATTCTTTGCGGAGGAAGGATGAAGATGGCTTTACTCTTGACGCGGTAAGATATGGAAATGTTGGAAGATTTATCAACTATAGTTGCTCACCAAACCTTTATGCTCAAAATGTCATGTATTACCATGGTGATAGGAGAGTACCTCATATAATGTTTTTCGCTTCCAAGAGTATTGCTCCATTAGAGGAGTTTACTTATCACTACAACTATGACCATGTTTGTGATAAAAATAGAAATCTGAAGAGAAAGAATTGTAGATGTGGCTCCCGGAAGTGCGAGGCGAGAATGTACTAAAGAACTACTGTTAGTGTGACATTTTAATATTAATAAAAATACATCATATGTCACTTTGGACTCTTCAACTAAATCCGGAGTTGCTTGAGTTATCTAACGTTGTTGGGTTGTTGTATCCTAGAGGGGACAAGTCAAGAGACATATTGTTGGATCAGTGTAGATTATACCACAGTCGGCTAGAATCTCTTTAAAGAGAGCGAGATATTTGTACCTCAGCCTAAAGATTTGTTTATTCATTTTTGTCATTTTATTTTCAATTGTAATTTAATATGTTTGTGGTATATTACACCAACAACTACTAATGTAAAACTATTTCTCTTGACCTGATGTTTGAAGTATAATTTTATGATCTTTGTGCACTTGTTATTCCATTTACGTTTAATTGTGCATAAACTTTGGGGGAAAGTACCTATTTCAGTGATGCCTATTGCCTTCGTCTTATTCAAACGTTATTGACAGAATGCCTTCAATCTAGTCTTGAAGCAAGGAACCAATCGGCATGCTTAACATAATTTCCTGTTTGTTATGACTGTTATTTGGTTTTGAATGTAGAACAACTTAAATGGTTGCATAATCACATTTGGGAGTTAATACTTATTTGTTGTAGACTTGCTGAAATAAGGCTTACTTACCACCAGGCTGGACCAAAATCCTAACATTTATCTTTAATGCAAATGTCTATTTTCCTATCAAGTGATGAAATTTGTACATGATTGCAACACTTTGGGAAATCTTAGTGAATTATGACATCTGCTTCTACATACTAATCAACTTGCCACTGAACCAAAGAGAGCATGGGTTGAGATTCTTCAATTCTTTGGCGTACTATAGAATGTTTGCTATATCTTTGCTAAATTCATTTTTTAGAAGGTGTAATACCGAGTGGTGGTGTGTTTGCAAATTTCACTCTCGCGAACAAAGGTCTACGCGGAATGCACATATGGAGATTCCCGCTTGCCCTATTGTTACTCATGTGGTTATTTCATCCTTCCTGATATTCTTATATTGGTTTCAATTTGGATAATCAAACGGTAGAAAAAAGAAAACTCCAAAGATGTGGAAAAGGTACGCACCGATAGATCAAGACTCATCAATTAATTTCTTATCACAAGATTCAATGAGCAACAAATAATTTTGATGAATCCAATTTGAATTGGTGAGGGAGGTTGTACAAAGGCCATAAAGGTTGTGGATTTGGCTGTGGCAATCCAAGTAAAAAAAAACTACGGTGACTTAAGTGTTTTACTTCGAGCCCCGGTTTGAAATTGCTATTGGAACGCGAAGTGCTTTTTTGAGAAAAAAAACACTTACTTTGATAAATTAAGTGTTTGGCTAATTCTTAAAATTGTTTTTAAATAGAAGCAGAAGCAGTTTTTCTGTTGTTGGGAAGAAGTTAAGAAACAGAAGTAGCAGAAATAGAAAATTATTTTTTTTAATACTAAAATATCTCTTACATCTATACATATTTATCAATATATCTCTTATTAATTAATTAACATATCTCATAATTTGGTTGATTTTTATTCAAGAATTTTATTTTTTATTTTTTATTTTTATATAATAATTTTTTTACTATTTGTGTTTTATATTATTATTTATATATCATATTGTATATATTACTTCATGTATTATTTTACAAAATTAGAAATAAAAGTAACAACGATATTTTCGTAGGATTAAAAAAGAGAAAAAATAACAATTAAAGATTCAGACTCTCCCAAAACAAGTAACAAATAACAATTTTTTCTTTTCTTACTTTCCATATTATTTTATTTTAATTTGATTTTTTTAAAACTTCAAAGTATTATAACAAAAAAATGATAATAGCTAAGATTGAATCCAAAAAAATAGGTAATAAATAACAAAAAGATTCTTCTATTCAATATTTTTCAACAATATTTATATACGTATAATATTGATTGAAAATTTGAATATGTACATTTTAAATAATTAAATTAAAAATGTAATTAAAGTGTTTGTATTAAATGTTTAAAATAGTTTCTCTTTATAAAATAATCTTAATATTAAAAGCACATTGATACTTGTCATTTTTAGTAATTTGACTCTCAAAAGCATTTTTTAAAGAAAATTAACCAAACACAAATTGATTATCAAAAGCACTTTTCAAATGAATTTGTCCAACACAAATTTTTTTTTTTTAAAAAAAAGAACTACTCCTTTTAAAAGAACACTTCTAAAAATAAGTAGTTTTTAGCAGCAATGTCCAAAAACTCTTAAATTAGAATTAGTAATTATGGTAACTTGTTGGTTTAAAGAGTCCCAATTTGAATAGAATGAAATGCATACACCCTCCATCCCAATTTATGTGCCACTTTTTGAATTTTGAGATTCAAACAAGTCTATGTTTGAACGTAAATTTTTCCTATATCTTTTAATTATTTTGAATTGTCAATTATTGTGACTTATAGTACTTTACGTAGTTTTAAAATATATAAATTTCATTTCAAAAAATTGAAGATTCCATGTGCAAATTTCTGGTCAAACTTAAGTTGTTTGACTCTCGAAAAATGAAAAGTGTCACATAAATTAGGACAGAGAGTATTTTATTGTACGTTCACTTTATTTTTAGAGTTTAACTAATACCACTGTCCGTAGAAACTTTATTTTACGCAAGCATATAAGTTTAATAGATAATAAGCTAAGAGCTAATTACCACAATATTTTCTTAAAATTACTTCCTTGATTAATTACTAGTTATTCTACAGAGAATGTAGAATTATACTTTTTTTTTAAAAGTAGTTTTTGGTCTCAATTTATGTGTGATGTTTGGATTTTAATAACTAAACGAGTTCTCTTTATTCTAATTGTTTATGTGCATGTTAAATATGTTTGATTGTTAATTATTATAACTTATACTAAAAAAAAATTCATAATTTTCAAATATATAAATTTTATTTCAAAAAAATAAATAAATATAATATTAATTACATAATCAAATTTTTTTTTTAAAATGAATTTTACGAAGTGAAAAGTATCAAAAATTTGAAACATTAAAAATACTATATTATAGAATAGTGATAGTGATTGTTTAGGTTTTATTTTGATGATTGCTTTGAAGGTTGATGCTGCTAATTGATTCAAATTTCAAGGGATCCTATAATTCAAATTCGATGTTAGAGTAGATATTGACATGTATAAAAATAATATATTATTGAATCCTTCCTAATTTTGGTAAAAAAGTCACAACGCTAAAAATAAAATGGTAGAGTAAATATAAAGTCCTAGTTACCTTTTATAACTATTGTTCTTATTTTTAATTTGAATATAAAAATAATTAAAACTTATCTATAATAGGTTTAAAGTACTTGCTTGTGTAAAAAATAATTTTCACGAGATTGGTATTGGCATACCCTCTGTATCGTTTCAATTTTATCGGATGTCCCCGAAGGAACGTTATACCCTTGCTCGATACTAATATTTTAGCTTTGAAAAGTGTTTGATATTATGAAGCCAGCCAACCCTTGAAATCACACCTTCAAGTAAGTTGTTTCTTTTTCTTGGAGTTTTGAAATTCTTTAGTTTAATCTATCTGGGATAAAAAAAAATTATTTTGATGTGTTAGTTAATTTTGTAGCCACAAATCACAATTTTATGATATGCTTCGATTAAAATTCATAGTATCTAAATAGATGTATGTGGAGATTTTGATATGTAGATTAAGTGGCACCCGAAATACACAAATAAGTCTCGGGTGCCATGATTTAGTGTTGCATCTGGGGCGTTCTTCCGTGCCCTGAGTCCGAATTCGGATCCTTGGAGAGCACTAAGATTGTTTTCCCCTGCATCTTCTTGGCCTCGGCTAATTAGGGTGTCTAACATATTGGATCGGACCGAACTGATTTTCATGAGGACCAGTCCTGCCCGTATAGAGGGGCAGGATTGGGCAGGTCCTACAATAGATTAACCTGCACGGATCCATTTGGGGTGCCGATGGATTGCGACCAGTAAACCTAGTAATCGGCCCGGGCTGGTTTGGTCCGGCGTAATGCTAACTTAAAGTTAGCATATTTTACCAGTATTAATTAATTAAAATTACTAAATTTTAATTAAGTTTAAGAATATTATTTTAAAATAAATTGGACCAGCCTGGTCTAGTCCTCATAGACCTAAATAAACTCGAATTAACCCATCTTGGTGGAAACTCGTCTCCCCAACCCATACCCAAGACCTATGGTTATCAAAATGTACTCAAATATAGATAATTTGCCTCAAAATTTTATAGATTGGACTCAAGATAATTTAAATTTAATCAAACTCAACTTATTGTAGTCTTAACTCATTTTAAAATGATCTTCAATTGAGCTTAATTTAATCTCCAATTCAACCTGTCTTAAGACACTTTATTTGCATTGGTGCAGTAAATTGATTGGTTAATGACCCACCTAATAGCTAGTAGGGTTGAAATATGGGTATAGTTTGAAATAATTACATATTATCTCACCAATTTATAATTTTGTACTAGATTTCAAATCAGATACATTACTCCTTCAAATTTCCCCCTTCGCTCTATTTCTTTCTTTCATCTCTCTACTCCCTCCCCCCCCCCTTCCTTTCTTCTCTCTCTCCCCCTCTTTTTTGCTTTCTTCCCCTCCCCTCTCTGTATGCACGGATTCACTGATGAATATAGAAGTGCATCTTTTTTCTTCTTTTTTTTTATGACAAGGGAAACCCGCAGCCACTACCCTTTGGGTGTGCACAGGGTAAAACCCCCGCTCCTATGCAATAGCTCGCAAACCACATAGGAGAGGTAAATCGCACTAGGCAAGCCTGGTGCGACGAGCTCGACCCAAAAGGCAAACCCCTTGCTTTCGCTGGCAAGGGGTTTCGAACTTGAGACTTCCAACATGGAAGTCCCAAGCTCAAACCACTGGGCCACCCCGAAGGGTAGAAGTGCATCTTTTTTGTACAAGATACATTGTAAAATATATATATACAAAGGGAGAGAGACTAGTAAGAGAGTCAACATGCATTTATGATACCAAATATGTTCTGACATACAAATACACAGGTAGAGAGGTGTTTGATACCAAATATATTTTGAAATACATAGAGGCGAGGGAGAGAGGCACAACAGGGCGGAGATACATTATACTAAGAGTAAGAGTGGCCACGCGGACACCCTTCGTTGTAAAAATTACACCATATATATAAGTAAAATGATACTTAAAATAATTAAATAAGACAATTTGAACACTCTTAAAACCACAAAGTTGTGTAGCCTAGTGGTTCCAGATGCTCAGGAAAGCTGAGGCTGAGGGATCAACATGTGCGCAAGTTTGATTCCCCGTTCAAACTAATATTATCTTTCAAAATAATTTTTAATTAGAGACCTACAACTTAAAAGTTTAAGAAAGAAAAACAAAATTAGTAGCCAATTGGATTTTTGATTGATTTGACTTTTTTTCTGTTCATTAAAATTTTAAATAAAATTTCAAAGTAATATTTAATTTAAAGTTAATAAGCAAATCCTATTTATTTTTACTATAAAGCTACTATTGATTCTACTCTATATTTTTTTCATGTCTAGTTGTTATTGTTATCCTCACCAGAGGTTGGTAAAAGTGATTTCACTCTAAGCTGAATTTTCTCTTTTTCTTTTCTTTCTCTATGTGTTCACTTCCAATTAAATTAAGCATAAACATTGAAACTAAATATTATGTAGTTTGTTTTTTTTTTAAATTACATTTAAAAAAATAATTAATAATATTACGTAGTTTGATTTACAAAAAAATAGTGGACTTATTCGTCAATTTTTCTTTTACCTATGCGATTTATGGGCACCTTTCGTGAAATTTCTGGGTCCACCACTAGAGTCTGTGTATCCTAGATACATGCAAATCACTAATGAATATAGTGTATCTGGAACAATTTACACCGTACCTGTATTTGGAAAGAAAAAGGTATGGAAGTCAATTTTCTAAATTGATGTGAACTACGTAATTAGGACCTAAACTAGTGGATTTTGTGTTGTTTGTTCATAAAATTATTATTTATCTTTATTATGGCTATAAATAATATATCAAATAAAAAGATATATTTTCGAAAATATTTCTCATGGATCAATTTAGGTCATATATCAACCCAAATTTTGGGATCAAATGGATTGGATTAGGCTAATAAATGAGCGGGTAATTAATCAGTCCTAACTTGAGAATCTCTGCTCTCATTTAGCATCAATGTGAGTTTCGTTACTCTCCTTCATTGCTTGTTATGTGGTATCCTTTGCTGTTACTCTTTTTTTTTGTTTGATTCGTACATTCATAATGCCTTGTTTTGTTAGATGTTAATAATCATGTAAAGTAGTATTTGTTTTTATAGTAGAATTGCTTTTTTCTAGTAAGGGTTTTAAGTTGTGCATACTTTATAAATTGTAGATGTCTGTGTTAGCGGAAACGAGTCCCTCAGAGATGTTAGGGAAGAAGAAACTTCATCAGATGGTTGATACTAAATCTCCCTCCACATTTAAGCGCCTAAAAGTTGATGCTACCCGCAATTTTCCTGAAAATTGTGGTCCATTTGTTCATGAAAACTACGGAACCAGAGAGATCTACCCGGAATTTCCATCAGCTACCAAGCTTGTAAAAGTCAATGCTACAAGGAATTTTCCTGAGAATTGTGGCCCATGTGTTCTTCAAAAGAAGAATGAACGCGACACTCAATGCTCCGCTAATGCTGAGATCGAAAGTTGTTCTGAAGTTGAAATGAATGTGGTTGAGTTAGGTGACCCTTTAAGTGTTTTTGTGCCAAAAGATATGCAATTTGATTTGGCTGCAGCTGGTGCGTGTGAAAAAGAGGGCGGTGATTCGAGTCATTTGAATACCTCATGTCAACCTACTACTAATGGAAATCATGTTTTGAAGACGAAAGAAGAAAATCTTATGTATGATGACTCAACTCAATTGAATGAAGTCTTGGTAAATCAGGTTCTCCAAAAGCCATCAACTGATACAGGTAATACATGTGATTGGTTTATAAAAGGCTATCCTATTGAAAATGGACCAGAATTGCCTGCTATTGTGTCACAAGAAAATCTAATTGACGGTCGAAATGATGAACCTAGAAAGGAAACAAACAAGAGAGTTCAGTACAAAGAAGTTGCTGACGATGAATCCAGGAGTCAGGTAGATAGTTCATCCTGCTCCGAGTCGAACTCACAAAAATCAGGTGACAAGACCCCAAGTGCCGGTAAGAAAGGGGGAAAGGGTGAGATCGTGCAGGAAGAAGCAGTGAAGTGTCCCGAACCCCTACACACGTGCAAGGTTATTTTTGAAGATGAATCTGCGGTCATGAAGAAGCAAATAAATCTCGGAGTTTCTCAAGAAGATTTAAGGAATTCTGATGTACTGTGTGGTGCTTCTGGTCATGGATTGTTAACTGAATATGAACATATTCAGAAAGTGAAAGAAGTCAAAGAGACTCTGAAACTTTTTGATGACGAATATACTAAACTTTTGCAAGAAGATAAAGCAGAGAAACATGAAGGACGGTCCAAAAGAAGAATCCATATAGAGGCAGCAATGAATTTGAAAAAACAGAAAAAGTGGGTAAATTGTGAGTGGACTTTTGGACATGTTCCTGGAGTTCAAATTGGGGATCAATTCAGGTTCAGGGCATAACTTGTTGCGATCGGACTACATAACCAATTTATTAAGGGTATCAACTATGTGACTATTGGCAGAAAAGATGTTGCATCTAGCATTGTTGATTCTGGTCGGTACGACAACGAGGCCATATCTTCTGAAACATTCATTTATGTAGGTCAAGGCGGAAATCCAAAGGTATCTCTTAATGGAAGAGTGGAAGGTCAAAAGCTTGAAGGGGGTAATCTTGCGTTGAAGAACTCCATGGACTTGGGATATCCGGTGAGGGTTATTTGTAGTCGACAAAGACTGAATAGTGAAAAGAGTGATTTAAGATACATTTACGACGGGCTCTACACCGTGACCAAGTGTTGGGAAGAAAGAGCTCCAACTGAAAAATATATTTTCAAGTTTGAACTGAAAAGAAATCTTGGCCAACCAAAACTTACTCGTGAACTAGTGTCACGGCCAGCAAAGTTAGTCAAGGTAAATCATTCTTGTGTTAATAAGGCAACAAAATCCATTATGCAGTCGGAGTTTGTTGTGGACTATGATGTCTCGCAAGGAAAAGAGAAGATACCGATCCATGTTGTCAATGCAATAGATGATGAGAAACTCCCACCATTTACTTACATTACCAACATGCAATATCCAGATTGGTATTATATCTCTAGGCCTCAAGGTTGCAATTGCACAAGTGGATGCTTGGATTCCGAGCAATGCTCTTGTGCTTCTAGGAATGGAGGTGAGATTCCATTCAACACAAGAGGCTCTATTGTTAGAGCACAACCTCTTGTTTATGAGTGTGGTCCATCTTGCAAATGTCCCCCTTCCTGCAAAAATAGAGTTAGCCAACATGGACCTCGATACCATTTGGAAGTTTTCAAGACCGAATCGAGAGGATGGGGTTTGAGGTCACGAGATCATGTCTCATCCGGAAGTTTTATATGTGAATATGTTGGGGAGTTGCTTGATGAAAAGGAAGCTGAAAATAGAATAGATCATGATGAGTACTTGTTTGATATTGGCAACTATGATGAAGAAATCCCCAAAAGGAATGTTGCGCGTAGTAATAACCTTAAAGTTGAGTCAAATTCTTTGATGAGGAAGGATGAAGATGGCTTTACCCTTGATGCGTTAAGATATGGGAATGTTGGAAGATTTATCAACCATAGTTGCTCACCAAACCTTTATGCTCAAAATGTCATGTATTACCATGGTGATAAGAGAGTACCACACATAATGTTTTTCGCTTCTGAGAGTATTGCTCCATTAGAGGAGCTTACTTATCACTACAACTACCATATTGACCATGTTTATGATAAAAATGGTGATGTGAAGAGAAAGAATTGTAGATGTGGCTCCCGTAAGTGCGAAGGGAGAATGTACTGAAGAACTACTCATGTAAGACTATTCTTCTTGACATGATATTCGAAGTATGATTTTTATTATCCTTGTGCACTTGTCATATCAACATTTTGATCCCTTGTTATTCCATTTATGTTTAATTGTGCAAACCTTGATCTCTTGAAACATTCATTATGCTTAATTTCCTACTTTTTATGACATTTGTTTGGTCTTAGATTAAATGGTTGTATAACCACATGAGGGAGTTAATACTTATTCGGCCTCTTAGGTTTAGACCAAAATCCTTTGAAGAGACATTTATCTATACCGCAAATGTCTATTTTCCTATCAAGTAGTGAACTTTGTACACGATTGCAACAATATTGCAATTGATAAGTAAAATTCTTCATTGAATCATGATATGATTGTTCAGTTAATGTTTTTTTCTGATTCTCTTCAGTCTTTGTCATGTATGATTATGGTTGTCTGAATCTATCGAGTGATTTGTTTAATCTTGTTTCTACAGCCTGAAATTTCGAACTACTTATCAGCGGATGATTTTTTTCGTGGACTAGTAGCAACGAATACCAGCTTGTCACATGGTTGTATTAAGGAACTGAATTTTTCTAGTTCAGCTTAGCTCTTGTTGATTAATGAACTCAGTTGTTTTGTAGCTACATTTTCGGCTTATTCTATTTTGCAAAGTTTGGACAGCTATTACTTTCAGTTCCTTATTTCGTGCATCAAGCACTTGAACAAAAGAGAAAATAACAGTTCTTTTGCAAGCATTTGCTTTGCAGCTGTTGTTTTCTAGACCTTTTTTTTCTAGCATCTCTGTATAAACTTAGTGTAGTTTACAATTTATTCGTTAGGTGTTGTTTGGTATGCTATTATAGTCTTGAGATTAAATCGTTTGACTAACTTATCCCATCTCTGGGGTTGGGATAAAATAATCTGAAGTTTAATGGGATAAGGTGGGATATCTAGGATTAAGTTTGAGATTAGATTTATACTGTGTTTCGTTGACGGATAAATTTACACAGTATAATCTAAACCTATACTTAATTCTGGGATATCCCATCAAGTTTCATAAAGTGGAGTATCTTTCTTAAAGGAACAAATTTATTAGCGAAAGTTTCTCCTCTCCGCTCCCCTCCCCTCCTCACCTCTCCTCTAAGTGATTACACACACCACACGTCTTATAAACAGAGTCAAGCACGTAATGCACATTTACTTGTTTCTCGTTCTGGCATTCTTCACTCTATTCCTTGTTCTCGGGTCCCATGGAACCTCTATTAATAGTCATGTTAGCTTTCTTTCAGCTTGCATTTACATAGAAAGATCATGGTGTTCTTCCAACATATATAATGAAGGAGTTCAACTAATTAGTATGCAGGATTGAAGCAACTGAATTCAATCTCCAAACTCCATAACATAAGATAACGAGATAAAGTCGAGTTTCCAGTGATAGTAATTGTGAATGAGCAAACTTCTATTAACTGCCTAAGCAAAAAAGATTTATGGTAATATTGACTGCTAGAGCAAAAAGATTTTATAACTTGCATCAGAAAAGTGGCTACATATGTTGACAAAACAGTAAAAGATGGTTTCAGGATCTATAAAGTTTTCCAGACAGAACAAATCAACAAAACTATAACTATAATGTTTACACTTTAATTTTTTAAGTCTGCTTTGACATACAAGTTCATTAGCATTCTTTCGGTATAAATCTAACTCAATTGTTACACTAACTGTCATAAGTGGCACCCATACTAAACAATCTGGTGGAAGAACCAAGTCTAACCCGAAACCAACCCAATATTATTTAAAAGAAAACAATTCATCATAGATAAGGTAAAACAGTTTAGTTGGCTAGAGAATTGACTCCCCATAAACTCAACCCAATAGCGAAAACATCTAAATGCGGAAATAAACCCTTAAGATCTGAGAGTCACCATATCAAAACTCTAAAACAGTCAAATTAGGGATGCAACACCGAAAGCTAAACATAAACTAAAGTTTGTAGTCTGTGTCCGAACAAATAGACAAGAAAGTGTAGAAGAATTCATGGAAGTCTGAACGACAAAGCTCACCCTAGGACTCGAAATAAGATGTCTCTCAACTGAGGTCTCGGATAAGCCGCTGGAAGATTCGTTACACCAACAAAAAAGAAACAAGTGCAGTAGCAGTACACAAATCACTGTGTACGGGTAGGATCACGCAGCCAATCCAATATATGAATGAAAAAAGTTCACCACCAAATAGTAACACAGAACAATGCAGAATATAGCAACAATTATCAACCACACATAGACTCCAGTCACATGCCATGAAGCAACAATACATGAATCAACGAAATGCATAAAACATGTCTCGATCACATGATCAAAATGCAAATGTTCGGTGCTCTCATGAAATCTCAAACACATACATGGTCCTCTCACTGAACTCAAACCAAACTGTCAGTATCATACCAAGTGTGGTATCCAAGCTAACCGTATATAATCATATCAAGCATGTTATCCGATCCAACTGTAACATCCCAGAAAATTTTTGAACTAAGACTCGAACCGTTCTTTGTAGTGAGTGAGATTTTACCAAGGAATTAAAAATTTCTTAAGTGTTAAGGTCACTAGATGTAGCACCTTGAGTTCCAAGAAGAACTAAAGAGAATTCATTCAAGTCATTCCTAAGTTTTTCTTAAGTTTTGGGTCAACTTCAAACGACCATAACTCCTAGTACAAGATGAGTTAGGTGAGCTTCAAGATAGAAAAGTAAAGCCCTTCGAGTCCTCTTTCCAACGCCACCGAGTTTGCTCAATTCCGAGCTCTGAGTAAAAAGTTATGATTGATTTACTAACGACGCGCAAACCTGGCAACAGCTCCGCGATGGCTCCGCGTCACGGTCAGTTCTAAGTGGCTAAATTGTTGTTCACAGAAGCAACTAATTCCAATCAAGGATGCATGAGGTTCACTAAAATTGTTAGTGCAGAAGTGGGTTGGATAAGCAAATGCCATGATCATCTCCCCAATTCTGTTCCTCACAATTCCCGCAGCTCCAGCTTTGTTTTGGTTGATCATATAACTTCCATCTGTATTAATCTTCCAGGTATCAAGGTTAGGTCTAGTCCAGTAAACCATTAAGCTACATATAGTAGTTTTTTTATTTTGTATTACTTGACATAGTTTTCCCAGTCTCATCTCCATTCCATTTTGTTGAATTTCTTTCCCATTGAGATTTTAGCTTGGTAGTTGATTCTGTGACAGATGCTGTCAATGGAAATGACCTTCTGTTCATGATTCCTAGTACATATTGCCTTCCAGCATACGATGTTGGGAGTAATTTGAAGAAGGAAGTGGTGTGCTTTGGATCCTAGCATATGTTAATTTATAACTGTAGTTTCCTTTGTAACTTAGCAAATAAGTCAAGAATGACTAATTAGTGACTTTATGTTGTATTTGACAGATATTGAAATTCCTAATGAGATTACCAAGATATTGAGGATCTATACATGAAACAGTATGCATCAATTTATCGAGTCATTACAAAGATGAAGCTTCCATTGGACATTGAAAATGGGACAACCAGTTTGATAATTCGAGGTTAGCTGATACACTGTCTGAAAATTGTTAATTTGTTATTGAAACAACCGATATCTTATTGGTTTTCAACGGATTAGTACATTTGAAAACTAATATTCTATAGGTCAAACTGTTAAGCAAAATTATCCACCCGACAAGCAGCCCTAGAGCTCCCCTGCCAAAAAGTGTCAATTTTAGTGCGAGTTTCGGACAGTGAAGTAGAGTGGGATGAAGGCGGCATGTGGTGAATGCGCTCAGAAGTAATTTTCACAGCTCAGATTTCGGTACATGAGTGACAAAATTTAGTCACTAATTAACTAGTCTTTTACAATTTATGTTGGCCCTTGTACAATTAAAAGTCTTGAAAATCATTCAATATCTACAATATTTTATGTAAGTTTGATGTGAGAACTTTCTCTTGAAATGATACTAACAAAGATGAAATAATCTAAAACTGCAGTAATATACTACAAACAGCATAAGCAAGTCCTTAAATACATTGATAAAAACTAAATAATGTGCCAGATATGCTAGCAGCATGTATTGTCATATACACAAGAATTCTTACTCAGGTACATATATATATTTTGTCAGAAACATATTTACTTAGGGTGTGTTTGGTATGAAGGAAAATGTTTTTCATGGAAAATGTTTTCCTAGAAAATGTTTTCTTGGAAAACAAGTTGATTTTTGACTTATTTTCTCATGTTTGGTTGGTGAGTAGAAAATATTTTCCGAAAAAGATTTTTAGTATTTGATTTATGAATGAAAAATGTTTTTGAAAAATTTCTTTTATTTTTACTAGAGTAGAAAATAATTGTTGAAATTGAAAATATTTTTTAAAAACAAACTTAATTTTTTTT